CAGGTATGCCTCTCGCAGTTTCTAAAAGATCATTGTGAGCATGGCTCACTATGGCTAAACATCTGCAGGGGATGGACAGTGTCTTATGATAGGGGAAAATAAAAAGAGTCAGGAATCCCTAATGTCAAAACCTACCTTGGATATTGATAGTGAACCCTCGGGTAGGCTGGGATTTGGAAGGAATTAGCTCATACGTAAACAAATCACGCAGGCAAGACAACAGACTTTTTAGATCAGGCAGTCGCAAAATGCTTCAGACAGTTTAAGCAATTAACATGCTACCTATTATTGCCGTTATCCGGTCCCTACCACAATTATATCTCAGTGCAGTTCCTGTTGATATCAGGATAAGAGCAGGCTAATTTTTCAATTTGAGCACTGTATACACTAGCTCTTGAAGAGAACTGATGTTGCAAGGAAATAAAAATATTTATACTAATAAAAAAAATTGAAAACCACTGGAGAGACTTCCACTTGCTGTGTGATGCTTGAATGCACATATTGTCTTTGCCTGCCCACATTACTCCCGTAAGTCTCACCTCATGCAGAGGTGGGGTCTGCAAAACAGTGTCTACAGTCTTCTCTATCATGTTGATTATAATCACTGCTCCTTCTAACTGCACCGCAGATACGTAAAAACTCTCCTTGCATCTCTTAGAGGCTCTCGAGGAGAGGAAGGAGACATGGAGACTACCCTTACTGACCAGAACAGCGGGCACTTTTACGCCTTCAGCTCCGTGGGTGCAGTGGGTGCTGCAGGGCATGGACAGGGCCTGAGAACAACTCCTGCGAGCAGAAGGAGAGGGAGGAGGAGGAGGAGGGCTGGCAGGAAATCAAGACAGGGCAGAGATGCTGTTGCCTGGTTAGGGGCAGCACCCAGGAGATGCAGCAGGGAGACGACTGGCCCTGTGACAGAGACACTGCGACTGTTGTGGATCCAGTCTGGACGCTCAGCTAGATCACCAGGTTGCCAAGGTGATCTAGCTGTTTTCAACTCCGTGGGTGAGTTTTACTTGCTCCATTCAGATACAAAACTCCAGACTGCTGCACAGGCCTTTGCTGCTACAGCACGGGGCTACTGAAAACTAATACATCAGCTGTAGTGCATCCGGAGGCTGCAGCTGGCCTGCAAGCAAATGCCCCCTTGCTGCAAAGTTTCCTGTCATGCATTCATTAAGCTGATGCT